GTTACATAATTTTTTTTACCTAAATACCCTTTTCAACTTTGTTCACTTATCTTTATGAAATTTTAAATTTAAAAAAATAAGTTTTTATCATAATTAATCACAACCGTTTATTGAAAAATTGAATGACCAAGATCGGTTAACAAAGTTAACACAAAAACTTTGGTTAACATTTGAACTTGACCATATATATATATATATATATATATGTGTGTGTGTGTGTGTGTATGTGTGTGTGTATGTGTGTGTGTGTGTGTGTGCGCGCATGTGTATGTGAAAATGAGATTTTTCCGTTCCTTTTATCTCATGTTCAAAAATATGAAAAAAAATATTTCTTCCTTTTTCCTTTCCTTTTGAGAACACAAATAATATATATATATATATATATATATATAATATAAATAGAGGCATGTTCAAATGAAAACCGTGCATTTCTAAGAAACCATGTAAACCAATTTCGACCAATAGGAAAATTTCATTTTTTTTCTAATTAAATATAATCAATAAGGGTATTTCGGTCATTTACAATATTTTCTATTAAATATGGAAGTTATTAATAAATATTAATTAAGAAAACGTAATAAAAAAAATTGTATAAATGGTAACATTTAATTATTTAATTATATTATAATATTAAAAATTTGAATTTGATATATTGTTATGAGATTGAATCTGCAAATAGGTCTTGAAGATTGAATTGCATTATGGAATGCAATCGTAAATTATGGTTCAAATTAAAAAAATAATGTTAATGAAACAGGTTTCATGAADGTGAAWCTRGTTCATGTTGTAATTGATTCATGAGTAATATGAAATCGTTTCATGGTGAACCACGTTTCAGTGATGGTGTAGTTGATTCGTTTAGTAGAAAAAATGGAACATGAAACGGRTGCATAATTTATTTGGTTCGTCATGAAATAATTGCATGATGAAACGGGTACATGATGAATTTGCTTCGGGATCTTGAAGATTGTAATCTGCTCCAGAATCTTGAAGATTGTAAGGAGTAAAAGAAAGAATGCATCAAATCATGAGTGAAATAAATAAATTAATTTACATGAAATAGGTTTCATGAAGGTGAAACTGGTTCATGGCGTAATTGAACAATGAGCGGTGAACTGCTTTCATGGTGAAACCCGTTTCAATGATGGTGTAGGTGATTCATTCAGTAGATGAAATGAAAAATGAAACGGGTGTATAATGTAGGCGGTTCGTCATGAAATAATTGCAAATTGAAAAATAAATTAGTTTCATTAATAATAATAAATGTTAACGTAAAAATAATAAATTACTTTACAAAAAATAGATTAGTTTCATTAATAATATGATATACATGATATGATTTCCTTGAATAAATGAATATTTGGTTTTACCCTTTTGCCCTTATTGATATTATAAAATGTATTTTCAATTTTTTTTTATTTTTAATTAATCTTAACCATTGATCAAGAAAATGGATGGGTGAGATTGGTTTACGGTTTACACAAATGGAGGCGGTTTTTATTTGATCGCTCCTATATATAT